TTGGAAGTAAAAGGAAAACGAAAAGACCGCTAGGCTGGATAAAAGAAAACAATTGCAAATATATTTACTTGTTGCCACTAAGAAATGATTATTGACTCCTGGGTGGTCGACATCATGGACAGCACTGGCTAAGATGGCAGCGAGGACTTCAAGATCGGTAAAGACGGACTGAATAGAGCGGAGAACAAAAGAGATATGCGTCAATAGCCTGTTACAGGCGTTCATTTAGTAAAACGGAGCGAACCAGTTAGCAGCAAAGCGAAACGAGGGGGATTTAGGTCGAGTCGCGTCGCGTCGCGTCACGTCCAGACCTAAGCCTCTCTCAGTTTTTAACTCCTCCGCTACTATCGCGCTTTATTTTACTAACTTAACGCCTGGAAGAGGATGATGCGTTAGCTGCCCACAGCATGAAAAATCCTGTTCAAATTTGTTATCAAACGTCGCTTGTGGCTGCGGCCGACGGCTCGTTTTGTAAGCTGTTTTGCAAGCTGAATAAAGGGGGTAAGTTTCTAAAGAAACTGTGGTGCTGCGTCGGAGGGAGAGTATAACAGGTAATTAGGTGTTAACAACTGAGTTGAAAAGGCTGACGTTTTGAGCGTCGCTCTTCGCTCGAAACGTCAGCCTTTAAACTCTTTACGGTGGTAAACTTACGTTTTCAACTCAGTTGTTAACACTAAATTACCTGTTTTGCAAGCTGTTTTGCAATGCGTCCTCTATATCCTGGCTATAAATTGATTTATTTAAGAAAACATGTTCCCTTACTTCGAATGCTTGAGCTGATAGGAGAGTGTGTGACGTTTGTGTGACATCCGCTGCATGAGTGCAGTTATGGAAGGGGACATCTTTTAAATAATGATTCTACAAAGAAAAATAGAATTGTTACACACAATCACAATGCTATACAAAATTTAAAAATGTCAAATTGCTCCTAGCAAACTCCATCTACAACCATCTTTGTAACTTTTCGATTTGCTTTACATCCCCTAAAGCCCACCAAACTACTCTCCTTTTTAGTATATTTCAACTGGCGTTCTGTCATAAATACTGCCATCTGATTGGCTACGCTACTCACTACTTATTACGTGACAGATAGTAGGCGATGTTAGTCGTCTAACAGTGTGTGGTTGTCGACAAAATGAAAAAAAAAAATCAGCCTAAATTGTTAAGTTTTGAACGACTCAAAGACACACTGAAATTTTAGATCAATCGAAACTTCGTGTTCAGAATCTAATTAACAATTGGTTTATACGTGCTTCACGTGCTTCATATCTCGATGAACGCACAGCTGACGCATGAACCAGTTGTTATATAACATTTTCAACTCCATGGAAAATTTTTTTTCTCGAGGGATTTGTTTGCTGAAGTGTTACTACCTATGTTATAATTAACAATGATGTCAATCCAATTAAAATAATTTTTTTCCGATTTCAAACTATATACGTGACGCAGTGGCTGGTGCGGTAACCGCGGGAGCGAGCGGTCTGGGTTCAAGCCTTGACTAGGTCAAAGAGCTGTGTTCTTGCGCAGGACACTGTGCTCCTGCAGTCCCTCTCTTTTTAGGGGTACACCTCTTACAGTGCCTCTGTCCACTTTAGTGTATACACGGGGACACATAAAATTTCCAGGGGAATTTTACGAATTGCTACCGTTGTCTAGAATTTCGTTAATGAGGGTTAGCACTGTTTCTAGTTTTGTAACCAAAGTAAGCATCAGTAGTAATGACTTATAGGCTTGCAAAACTATGCTATCTTCACGCTTGTCTTACCTCGACTGACGACATATAGTTAATAAACGTAGTGGGTTTTATCTTGAATATTTTTAATAAATCTCTGGCCTGCAAAGAATCAAAGTTTAAAGTCAGCAAGTGTTTTAAGATATTTAGACTTTGACGACAACACAATTGCAAAATACTCCCCAGGTCAGGGCCCGGCCCATTTGAAAGTTATCAGTGGACAAACCGATTTTTTTCTGACGCCAGTTAGAAATCAGTTTTTTAACACTCAAAGCCGCGCGTTTCGAGCCAGTGAGAGGTCTGTGTGGGTTTCGAACCCTTGCGGACCTCTCGCAAGTTCCTCACGCACACTCACATTGTTCGCAGGCTCAAAACGCGAAAGCTTCGCCGCTCGTGTCACAGAGTCACTGTGAGCCTGCAGTGCCTGCAGACTGGATTTGCGATTGGTTTTACTTCAGCATCTGGCTCAGAGAGGATGACACGAGATTTAGAGACAAATCACGAAGTGCAGTAGAGGAAAAACAATACAACCCTGGATTACTTTCGACATTCAATTAAAGAATACTCACACAAAACAATAACAACTACAACAACAGCAACAACAGCAACAACAGCGACAACAACAACAACAACAACAACAACAACAACAACAACAACAGCTACCGCAACAACATCAACAAACACCAACCTGCAGGATTGTGTACGTAACAGCAAGCAAAGGATGCCCCTGTGTTAGGTCATGTAATTTGAACACATCAAATGTCCATTTGTTGATTTCTTCTAAGACCTTATGAAAAAAAAACATTACACTGACTGTAAATTTTGCATCTCACACTTTTTTTAAAGAGACCATACGCCTTTAGTCACCTCGTTTTTCACGCCATCAGCACAAGATGGGTTAGAAATGAAAAACTATTCAACCATGAAAAATTAATTTCATTCACGGTTTAATCATCAGAACTACAGAATGAACGGAAACGAAACGAAATGCACCTCACAAAGTATCACCGATACAAATTAATTCAGGATTATTGTACAAAAGCTCACCTTCGCTAATTCGCCCTCATTGGCCACCTCCACTCCAAATCTACAAGACAAAGATTTAATGGGAAGCAATCAATTTGATCAACCAGTAATCAGCAGTCGGTCGGTCGGTCGGTAAGTCTATTAGCCGGTCGGGTGGTCACTTTGTAAGTTAAGTGACTCAACTGCCAGTTATTCAGCCACCAGTCAGTCAGTCAGTCAGACACTCCGTAAGTCAGCTAATCAATCAGTCAGTCATTCTCACAATCCATATGTCACTTAGTCAATCAGTCAGTCAGTCTGACAGTCCGTAAGTCACTTAGTCAATCAATCAGTCAGTCTGACAATTCATAAGTCCCTTAGTCGATCAGTCTGACAGTCCGTAAGTCCCTTAGTCAATCAGTCAGTCCGTCTGACAGTCCGTAAGTCACTTAGTCAAACAGTCTGTCAGTCTGACAATCCGTGAGTCACTTACTCAATCAGTAAATCAGTCAGTCAGTCTGACCGTTCGTAAGTCACTTGGTCAATCAGTCAGTCAGTCTGACAGTCCGTGAGTCACTTACTCAATCAGTCAATCAGTCAGTCAGTCTGACGGTCCGTAAGTCACTCAGTCAATCAGTCTGACAGTCCGTAAGTCAGTTAATTAGTCAATAATAGAGACGTAAAGGAAAACTAAAGTAATTAAGGATTACTTTCGACACAATTGAAAATTTCTCCACAATCTGCGCTGTCTCTGTATCAGCGTTTCACTCAAGAGGATTTCTCTATCAGTCTACTTCCCACTTAAGCATTTACCAGTACATACCTGGGTACAGAGCCACTAAAGCTGTGTAGTCTTGTAAGTTTTCGAACGCCGTTTACCATGGAACGCGACCTTGCTCGAATCCCTTCTCTTTTTGATTTTGTACCAGGCAGGGCATCCACTTCTAACTGCTTATCTACAAATAAATGGCAAAAGGAAAGAGAGAAGTAAGAACTTTTCTAGAAGCATTTGACTAAGAAAGAGCTATACAAACTTGATGAAACCACCCACGCATTCTATAGGTCTTGCGAACATTGAGCGCAACATAATCGGCAAGGTTTTGTAAATAAAACGAACTACCGTACATTACAACTTGAAATCTTTTAAGCATATGGGCAGACAATGGGGTGGGTAAGTGGGAAAAGGTATTTAATGCCATTAAATACCTTTCCCCACTTACCCATGGGGGAAAAATGCCACAAAAACAACTTCCTCTCAAAGCGGTGGCCCCATTCCGTCAACGGAAAAAAACTCCATATGCCAGTCATGTTACCTGTAAATGTGTTATAGACCCAGGCCGACACCTGGTTTCCAGACTGGTTGCTTTCGGAAAAGTCTTTCAATTCTCTATTTAACAATCTCTTAAACTTATTCGACGCCATTTCACTGACGGACGTGTGTGTTTGAAGTGTTTCCAGTTGATACAGCACCCAATCCAGCTCGTCCAGGGTATTATTAGCCAACTGAAAGAAAAGCAAAAAAGTTTCAGTTGATTTAGTTACGGGCGTCGAAGTTCACGCATGCCCAGTGACAGTGTGTGGGTTGAGTTTGAGGAAGTAAAGCAAAATAAGTTTCAGTTGCTATGGTTACGTGCGTCGAAATGCACTTGGGAAGTTTCGAGAGCACTCCAGAAGCTAGAGTTGCTCTCGGCTCTTCAAACTTTCCGCGTGCTTCATATCTCGATGAACGCACGCTGACGTATGAACCAATTGTTAATGGTTAACTGATCAACACGTTCACACCGAACAACAAGAGCTGACAACAATGCAGCGTCATGTTCATGCTCAGTCTCGCGTTCGTGTAATTGCAATTGACGTTAAATGTTACAACATCATACTGCCACAACATGAAAATCTTCCGTGCGTTTTGGTTTCTGCCGCCATTTTGAATGTGTTTTATTAAACACATTTGTTTAACTGCCTCGCGAGGTAGTTTTGTTAAACACGGTTTTAGACGTGTTTTGTTAAACGCGCCCGCTGTGTGAACGGCCAGTCTTATTATCAAAACAAATTTTAAACATGTTTAAGCTTTGGTGTGAACGGGTATTAGTTTAATATTCAATTTTCATTAATACTTAGACTCCCAGGAGTAATTAACATGAAACTTCTCCCTATAATATCCAAACATTAACCAGTAAACAGGTAACGAGAATACTTAAAATTATCAGGTAGTAGTTGTTTCCTTGATCTAACATCAAATTCTTGTAACTAATTAACAAGGAAATGTGTAACAGCTAAAGGGGAGAATTAATAATCATATATTGGGAGATAGAAGGATTACCTTTTGATAGCCATCATCTCTTGGTAAGTGAAGAGAACCTTGAGAGAGAAAACGCAATTAAACTTTGGTTAGAGAACAAAACATTGCCGCAAATGCCAGTTATAAACAAAACTATCGGGATAGTTTTAAAGAATTAAATTCTTAACCGTTTGTGCAGTATTGTGCCAAAGTAATGCAAACGAAAGCGCGAATTTTGTGTTTTGCACTCGCGAAGTTACATTGAAAGTTCGGGCGAAGACCCGCACCTTCCATTTGCGTCATTTGCCGAGAACGTAATATGCTAGATTTGTTTTCGCTACCAAACATGAGAAGCATCTTTATACTGACTCTTGCTCGAAAGTTCGCTTTAAAAAGACAAAAGAAATTCTCCGCGACATGCTCGGTCTACTTGTCATATCCTGAAGATAAAATGTTTCAGACGCTCTCGTGAAACGTATCCCTATCAGCCAGCTGGCTGTCTTTTCACTGCCACTCTACATATTAGATGAACACCCAGCGACTGATTGATTACCTGAAGACATTCCTGAGCCATTGAGCACATCTTGGGCTAAATTGTTGTTTCGTAAAATGTGTGATCCTACAGACCCTCTCCTCCTTAAATCAAGAATAAAATTAGACATGGTTTGATGCTACTCTGGTTTGCAGATTTAATGAATGTAACCGAAGAAGTTACAATTCATAGACCCAACGTTTCGACACTCCTGTCTAGTGCCTTCATCAGGGGTGATCTAAAAGCTGCAACAGGAGGTCCTTTCATATGATCACTATAATTAGCAGTCTTTTTTTTACACGAGGTGTAAATAGGCGTCAGGAAGCAAACCGCCATCGTCACGATTTAAAGGAGCGTGAGCGGAGTTAGTATGCCACGCCTCCAAACAAAGGCGCTGGTGGTAACGCCGATTAGTGGTGATAATTTTAGAATTATCCCACCCAATTGTATATGGTTAGTTAGGCACGTGTGCTCCGATAAAGCTGAATTTTCCTTTTGCAAAGGAAAACCGCTTTTTGGTGCTCTTTTAACCGTGTACCAAACTGACGTTTGGTCTGTCCGATGTATACGTTGTCACAGTCATTGCAAGGATTAGAATAAATGACGTCGGTTCGTTGTTCTTATGTGACAGGATCCGTAGGTTTGGCGAAAATATGCTCCCAAGTCTGAAAAGGTTTTTAAGCAACTTTAACGTTGTGGCTATTCAAAATTCTCTTGATGGGTTCCGTAACACCCTGTATGTAAGGAATAACAGCAAAACCAGTCGCTGGTTCCCTTTCATCAAGAGCGTTACTATTTGTAACTGGTTTTTGGTAGTTACGGAGAAAAGTTTTTGTATAGCTTGCTATACAAAAACTGGTTTTTGGCAGTTACGGTGAAAACTTTTCTGGTTTTGCTGTTATAAACTACTAACTCCGCCCACGCTCCTTTAAATCGTGACGATGGCGGTTTGCTTCCTGACGCCTGTTTACACCACGTCTAAAAAAAGGCCACTAATTAGTGATCATATAAAAGGACCTCTTGTTGCAGCGTATAGATCACCCCTGATGAAGGCACTAGACAGGAGTGTCGAAACGTTGGGTCTATGAATTATAACTTCTTCGATTACATTCATTAAATCTGCAAACCAGAGTAGCATCAAACTATGTCTGATCGTCCACCTGGTTGCCGTGTGAACTTTAATATAAGAATAAAACTGATATTATTTTGAACCAATTATTAATAGGACAGCATAAGCAAAAATTCAAATAGAATAGTCATTATAATACAAATTAAATTTTTGGTAGAGTACGGTCACACTAATCTTTGTCAAAGAAAATTTTTTGTTGTAAAATTGCTTTCAGTGCTAACACTGTTTCCAGGATAATTCAAACAAACTTAACCATACTTCCATTTGTGTCGAAAGTAAACTTCCGTGTTTCTTTAGTTCGCTCTGCGTTTGAGCCAGAAACTAGCGCTATCCTCTCAACCAATCAGACGCGGATGACCAATCGTGATGAGTCATCCGCCTCTTCCCGCGCTTTTTGCAGTTTCCTAGTGTTACTCAGAATTCTCATTGGCTAATGATAATGTGAATCAACCTTTTGATTGGCCGTTTTTATTACTTCTGTTTTGCTTTTGCTTTTTAGCACTCAATTGAAAACTGCGCCATGGGGAGCAAACAACGAGAGGAAATGATTACTTGCGTACCATTCGATTTACAAACAAACGCAAACAAAAGTGACAAAGAATTTAGAGGGAGTTCATTGCTCATTTCCAGTTATCTGATTGGCCAGCTTTCTGTAAGTTACCCCCTGCAGAGAAGTTGCCCTGTCACAGTGATACATGTATATAGTAGACAAAGCTATGAGTCCTGCTGGAGTGTTACAAAACTTACTTTTCTTTTTTAGCATTGGTCAGTGACATGAAATTGTTTCTGACATTTCGCAAACTTGAGAGAATCTACAGAGAAATGGACACAAAGATAGCAAAAAAATGTAAATAACATGTAACTAGCTTGTAAATATTCGATGTAATAAAAATAACGTTGTTACAATAATTCCTTCATGACAAAGGCATACAATTTTGCGCCAAGATCAATATTGTTCCAATATAGACATTCACCAAAACAAATTTCGTCATGACTGAGATAAACAATTTTTCACCCTCTGAGAGTTTTCCTGCTTATCTTTTCCTTCCCTTGGCCCAACCTTGCAGCCAGATGACGATGCCACTAGAAGTGCACCTTTGCAGCACCTGCACCAGAGCCCCTTATCCCTTTAACTCCCAGATCGAATTTGCCATTCTCCTTACTATCAACCATACAATTCTTATAATGTTAATTCAGAGAATTTAGTATTGGATCAACTCATTATCCCCAAATTGATATTTTTCTTTATTCTCATCACTTATCTGGTTGATATTGTAATGATATTGTAAGGAGAAATTCTGTCTTGGTCACTTGTGGGAGTGAAAATGTTTAGAATAGACATTAGGAGATTCTGTCCAACAGTTACTGGATGCTACAATTGAAATGATAGTCCTATATCTAAATGGGAGAAGCCCACTAAAAAACTATTTAAAAGAGCATTTTTTGTTTTATTTTTCTCAGTATTAATTCATGTCTTCCTTTGACCATGGACTATTTATACATCTGTTGTTTAAAGTGTGATTCCTCTTCCCTCTCTTATAATTGTATTGCTTTTGGTTTACTGTATGAAAAAATGTAGTTTGAACTTAAAGGCATTTAATTATACCCTTCTCCATTTTCTTTCTCATTTTGTAATTATTCAAAATGCTGTACTAGTTGAAATGGAGGAAATAAAAAATACAAAAAAATACAAATATATTAAGATATAATTATTTCGATAAAACATTTGCCTTAGAAAGCACAAAAAAGGCAGAAATTAGTTTGACTCCAACCCTTTGACCACTAAGAGTGACCAGCATCTAATTTCTCCTTACAATATCACCTGTGAATCACACATTAAGGTCATGAGAATAAAGGAAATGATCACCAACTTAAGATGGTCTTGATTGTTAAACAAATTCTCATTATCAGCACTTAAGGTAATATATGGAGACAGTATGGAGAATATGCATACTGATGTTAGGGTGAAACAGGTTGAATCCTGGATAAGGGTCAACCTTCATTCAAATAACTGCACCCAAAGATATGTTACAGATTTGAACAACAAAAGCACATCTAGGTGAGAAAAGAAATGAAACAGAACTTAGTTATTGCTATTATCATTATCCCTTGAATAAGGGAAAAAAATTCTTACCTGTGCAAAAGGAGTAACTAGCTCTTCTACTCGAGTTCTAAAAAAAACAATGGAAAATGGTGCTGTTAAGTCCACAGTTAACAATAAAACAGTGAAACTTTTGTTTTACTCTGAACTCATTTCACGCTGAGTTCTCATAACCAGAATCTTCAAATTCCAATTGTTTTCTTTCTCTCATTAATTGTGAAAGAAAGCTTGATCAAATTCCATATACTGTTGATGATTAGAAGTTTTTTTTGAAGATCTCAGAAAAGAAAGAAAAGATTGAAAAATTTCTAGTCATGCAGTTATAAAAATACCATGAGTTGCCATTAGTATAGGAAACAAAATTAATTATGAAAACAACACAAGTTGATTGAAGCCTACAGTGTTAGATTTTCTTGGGAAGTGCTGAACTTGGCAAAGCTAAGAAATGGAGTCATATTAGTAAGTGTTAGTAGAGCTGGGAAATTTTTTTGTAGGTCTTACATTTCAGTAATTCTAGTGAAATATATAAACACACATATACAAATATTTGAGACACACAGGGCAGCCAAAAGTTCAAATGATGCAGATTTCTATTGAACATGGGCCTTTTCAATTCATTAACTTCAATTATTGAAGTCAGCATAAAAGACAGGAATGTATTTGCCCCCTGCATGCAATCAACGTTTTTAAAATATCCATACAGTAGCTCTCTACTATTACAAATGACATCAAAGCACACCATGTAGAGATGTCAATCAGCTGGTCATATGGCCTACAATGGCCTTCATTCCATCTGCTCACATGCATTAGCCAGAAAACTTGGATCAAGTTTGCCAAGTTAGGGCTAATCTGTGTGACATTACATATACAGTACCAGTAACTGAAAACAACTAAGAAAGTTTTCATGGTTTGACTCCTTCACTTTGCTTTTCTCCTCCTCAGGCAAATTTCTACCTAAGAGTTCTTTATTTTGATGTGAGGGGACTTACTAAAAAACATCTGTTAAACAAAACAGTTTTGTCATTTTACATAATTTTGTATGTAGATTTTTGACAAAAAGTTTGAATGTGGACTCCCAGCTTTCCTGGGTCACACCCAAACAGACATGTATCAAAATAATTCAGTGTTCTCCCTTAGTTTAAGCATGGCAGGTAAAATAAATTTTCACACCACTAAAGCAATCCTTTACATGTTGAATTTTCAAGAATTCCATGCAATTTTAGACGGTAATAAGAGGTACAATAGGTGGAACAGGCGGTAAATGTTACCGGTTACTGCCTGAAAAGGAGAACACTGTAATTTGAGTTGATAATATAAATTGGCCACCATGAAGACTTTCTAAGCTGATGTTTCAAGTAATAGGGTTTCCTCATTCATAGCACCACAGTTTCTTTAGAAACTTATCCCCTTCATACAAGTATCAAACATTGGTTTTTAAGATTAGAAGTGGTCACAAGCAGTTCACTAACCCTTCGCTGAAGGAGTGATGCCTTGACGTTACACATTTGGATGCTAGCTCAAACTCGCTGTCAGATTTATAAAGGAAGGACCCTCTCCGTGTGGGAACTGGGAGTGTTAGTCTGTCTCCATCAGATCTCTCAACTGAGTCTTCACCTTGGGAAGAATATTTTGTCCGTTCACGCTTCCTTGGAAAGCTGCAGCATAAAAAAATGTGATATGAATTCTCAAGCTCTCAAAGTCAATTGCTTCCAACACAGAATGTGACATCAAACAATAACAACAAGGAAATTAACATAACAATAAGGCTTAATCCAGGAAAGGGCACTTCTTCATTTGACCTATCAGATTTCCACGGACCTAAATTTTTCATTTCTCTAAATATAGAAATCCGAAATATTGACTTTCTTCTCCTGTTAAGTCAACAAATATTGCAAACCTATTCCTAAGTTGACTCCTTGTTTTTTGTTTTTTTTTTTTCAACTTTTCTTGAGCTGTTTATCTATAGGATTGTTTGAGTTCCTAATAATGTTGTTGTTATTGTTTTCTTTGTGTGTGTATGCCTTAAATTTTTGTACCTAAATTATGCCATATAACTTATATTGCACTTTGTATATAAGCCATTAACCTCTTGGTTTCTCTACAAGTTTTCTCAACACAATTTTCAGTTATATTATATTCAGTTTTATGAACTTCCATTATTTTTACTGATGTGTTATAATTACAAAATGGCAAAATAATCAAATAAACAACAAAATAAAAAAAATAATGATCAAATTTAACTTCTCCCATAATGTTGCTCTAGAATCTCGCATTTAGGTTTAGAGAATAAAGAAAATGATCCCTAAATAGTAAAGCTATTGATTGTCAAACAAATTACTTTTGTAAGTATCATAGAAAATGTATTGAGAACAGTATACTGATCAATGTCATGGCATAAAGGGTAACAAAGTAATGTTTAAGACTTGAAGAGTGAATGCATCCAAAGCTTTGAATGTTGGATGGTGCAGTTTTGGTGTTACTATAAATGAATTATCAGACAACCAAACTGATAAATTATTTCACTAAGAAATACCTTTGTGACCAAATTTGATGGCAACATACAATCTTATAGTTAGTGAAGAAAGATAACAAACACACATGTATTATTTCCCTATAACTGGAGGATAAAGGAAAGGCTGGCAATATATCTGTAAATGGCTGCGTAATTTCAGGCTGTGCAAGTCCTTTAAATTACACTGGTACATTGTTGCAGTAAAAGTCAAGATGCTTTCTTATTCATGTTGGTAATTATATGGCCTAGTAGAGTTAAGCATTCAGTAGAGAAAAAGATCACAATCCCAATGCAAGCTATAATCTTCAACTAAATTGAGATTAACTAAAAGGACATCCATGCTGATGAGTTTGAAAGTAGAGGGAAATAATAAGCAGCCATGTTATTAGGAAAAATAAGTTGTTTTGCTAGATTTCATGCTATAGAGGTCAACTACTGGAGATATATAAAATTTCCTATCAGTTCCATGTGTTGCTGGTAAAGTATTCTACTCAATGCTGAAAAATGGCTGGATTTCTTCCATGGTATTTTGGTAACAGTATATACATATACATATAACTTTTTATCAACAATTATGGTTACTGTACAAATAAAATGAGGTGAAAGAAACCCACTAAAGATGGGGAACTAGCCAGCAGTTTTGACCAGCAATATTCTATTCCAATGGAAAGCTCTAAAGTAAATAATGTAAACTCTTCCTGAAAAAAGAGCATTTCTTTAAAGTAACAACCACTTGAAAGTAGTGGGATAAACATTTATTTCCCAGTTTATGACAACCGCAGACACTTGTATAAAACTTCCTACTTCCCATGGTGTATTTTTGTTTCATTTTACAAGGAGAGGAAAAAAAAGAACACCTTCATAAGATCCCCATTAAAGTTCATCCACAGTACGTGCAGATGAACCAAAGAGCAGAAAACATTTTTGTATTTCCCTTGAAAGATGGGGGTGTACTGATGAGTGAATCAATCATTGCAAAAAAAAAAAAAAAAAACTGAAAAAATTTGGGTGTAATTTTTTAAATTGAAATTTCTGATTTCAATTATCAAAGAGGCTGCATTAAAATTCTTTCCAGCCAAAATACTACCAATAGTAAATAAAATATTAAAAAATCGAGAATGGTCTTGTCCTTTATGTATCAATCAGATTTCTCTGCAATGCTGAATAGAATTGACAGCAAACCACAAGGAATTTCAATTTATCTTAAATAAAATAAAGTATCTGGAGTAAATCATTCAAATGCGACAGATGTGTCATGTAGTCTGTCCTCTAGGTAAACATTATATGTACGTTACATTTAAAAGACCAATTATCGCCTAAACTTCCCACCAAAAGGTTAACTTCCCCAGTGTGGATTACTTCCATATACTGTATAAGATAGTCCAGTCTACAGAGCACTGAATTTAAAAGCATCTCTCCATCAGACTAGGTTGAAAAAGCAACCTGTGAGTCATAGCATAATAAATAATTACATTTATGCCAAGATATTTCCATACTCACTTTATATTGTAATCTGTGTTAATCCTTAACACTCCTTGGCCCTTCTGGTTTATTCCTACCAAAGGTTTTTTTTTCATCTGACCTAGCTTTATTTTACGCTCTCCTTAACAAAAAGTGTGCCGGATACACAGTGTGATGAAGTTGGCTAAGTTACATTCATTTCATGAGAATTACATCCATGGCTACTGTAATATGAAAAACATCTCCTACACTGCACATTCTATTTACACTTTCCGTTTAAAGATTTAAACATCATCGCTCTGCACTGTCTGCCTCAAAAACCATCATAGTTTTAGCTCTAAAAACTTTTTGTCATTGAACAATCCTGTGTAGATTTTTGTTTCTCAATCTCCTAATCAACTTCAAACCGGAAAATGTAATGATAATGTAAGAGTGAATTCATTTATAAAAATCTATTTTGAAAAGATATACAGAGCCTTTAAGGGTCAAAAATATTCTACACAGTGCTTTAAGAAAAAAAAAATTTAAAAAACACTTGTCTATGTTATCTTTCCAATCATATTTGTGATTTTATGCCCTGCTAAAATCAGTGAAAATAAATTCCCTTTTGGTAAAAGGCTGAAATTTGCTTCATGCATATGGCCTACTTTTACAAAAATTTTTACAATTTAAATTTTATCTGACTATGTTAAGCAAGCCTAGTAATATACACTGTTAATATAACCCCTCTTCTGGTGCCTTGTCTTTACAAATCAATCAAAAGCAGTTTTATCAACTCTGTTGTTTCTGCTTGAGAAAACCCAAGGTTAAGAGAAGTCACAAAAACAGGAAGAAGAACAAAAAATCTATTGCATTCATCAGTTGACAGTTAGAAGTGCAATTACAATGTTTTCTGTAGGTGTATTATTAACACATAAAGATTTCTTCGGGTTGATTGTACATAAATTATCAAAAACTCACCAATCAACTTGAATCAAAACCTACCCCAACAGTTTAAAAGGAGATATTCAATGGAAAAGGTGTGAAATATAGTTGTATACCACAAGATCAGTGAGTTTAGGTGCTGATTTAAGAAATTAAAAAAAAATTTCATGTGAAGTATCTGAAAAAATGATTAGTCTTCACTTGAATTTATCTTAGTCTCTACTAGCTACTGTTACAATATTTGCTGTCTCATCTGACCATACACCAATGAAAAAAAAATTTTCCAGAAGTGTATGAATATGACTTACTTTAAGTGTGATTTATGACAAAATTATTGAAAAATTCTCAAAGGATTACAACATATGTTCATTCTCAACAGTAAGGAATGGAAGATACCTTGAATCCACTTCTACAACATGTGATAAATTAGCTCACACTGTGGGCAAAGACTAATAAACAAGTGCAAGTGTTTTCATTCATATAACTGCCAAGCTGATTTTAAAACTTGATTTCTAAAACTCTAAAGACCGAGAAAAAGATATTTGAAATACAAATGGAGAGTTATATTTAGTGCACAACGTGAAAACATGTAGTTAATGTATGTTATTTCTGAGCAAAATGACTGGCATTGTCAAAACATTCCAAAAATTCTCAATCTTCCATTTGAAATAGCATTCATGTTTGAGTGTTAAATTTCAGACAATAAGGATAGAGCTCTGGAGAATCTGTCAATAACACTGTGAATGTTCATTTACAGCAAGTGAAGTACTAGAAATTGTGTAGTGTGCCAAATCAAATTAGATTAAAAATATGAAATACAGTAGAACACATGCACATTTACCTCAGACAGAGAACTTTTCATTAGTAGCAAGCTAGGCACTGGCAAACATAAATGTCTTGCTAAAATGCAAATGATCTCAGCAAAAGACAACAGAAACCTTTACCGTACTGTTGTGTTTAACATATGTCACTGTGTTCATTGAGGTGAATCATTTGAAGATCATAAGACAGGCTGCTTACACTATGTGAAAATATAGCAAAATAATCCTGACAGATGTACAATTTTGAACAAAGGAGGCATATTTTTACCTCCATGTAGATACAGATGACTCAAGGTTTTATATAGTTTACATAATTATGTAGATGTTGGGCATTTGTAACATGAAAAGTCCATGTTGGCTACATTTCACACAAGACATTGAAAAATGAAATATAGTACACTGAATTTCCCAGCATAATATTCTATTTACTAGTACTAGTACATTTTTATCTTGATTTCAGGCTAGATATCTAACTTCATATCAAAAGGTAAAAGCCATTACCATAAACTCAGAACACATCCAATTTAACTGTTATAATTACACATCAACCTATTTCTCAAGAAACGTTCTTCCTCAAAATACTTTGATTTCATGATAAAAATAACAATATTGTGATACATTTTTTTAAGGAAATCCTTTCAGCTTTTTAAACTTGTATCAATCAAATGACAGCAACATAATTTTCACTCAACTGTCAGCCATGTTTTGTAGGGAATAACAATCTAAACACACGCCATTCGTTGAGGATTTGAGCAGATTTCTGTGAGTTAGCTAGACTGTTTTTGGGCTAACAAGCACTTGTTACAGAAAAAATACCATCTCTAAATGCAGAATAATCACATAGCAGGGGAACAGAAGCAAGAAAGCAGATTAAAACTCATAAATACCATGTTGAGGATTGTTTCTTTGAACCAACAGCTCCCATCTTTCTGTTTTC